ACACAGGAGTTCAAGGTTCCTTAAAAGAGATTATTGTTGTGGGTAGTGCCATCAAGTTGGTTCCAACTCGTAGTGACCCTGTGCACAACAGAACGAACCCTGCCGGTTCCTGCGTCACCCTCCCCGCCATTGTTGGCGGGAGCCCCCTGTTGTAACCTCGATGCCAATCCATCCTGTCCGGGCCTCCCTCCTTTTTTCTGACCTGCTTGCTCCTTTGCCAAGCATGCTGTCCTTCTCCAGGGACCGGCCTCTCTGATGACGAAGCCAAAGGACATGAGATGACTTCTCACCCTTCTCCCTTCTAAGGATTCTGGCTGAACATCCTTCAAGACATATTTGTTTGGTCTTTTGGCGGTCCGTGAGACTTTGAATCTCCTTTCCCAGCACAATCCTTCAAACGCATCGATTCTTCTTTGACCTTCCTAATGCAGTGTCCACCTTCCACACGCACATGAGACCATTGAAAATACCATGTCTTGGTCAGGCACACCTTCATCCTCAAAGTAGCATCCTTTCTCTTCAACACTTTGAAGAGACCTGGGGCGCAGATTTGCCCACTGTAGTTCATCTTTTGACGGTTGCTTCCAAGAGCATGGTCTGTGGATCCAAGCAAGATAAAACCCTTGACAATTGCAGGCTTTTCTCCATTTATCACGATGTTACCTCGTGGTTCAGTGGTGAGCATTTTTGTTTTTGCCACACTGAGCTGTAACCCATACTGAAAGCTGTAGTCTTTGATCTTCATCGTCCGAGCTTCAGGTCCTCCCTGCTTTCAGGAAGCCAGGCCGTGCCATCTGCACTTCACACGTTGTTAATGAACCTTCCTCCCATCCTGATTCCCTGCTCACCGTGTACTCCAACTTCTCCAATTAGTTCCTTAGCACGCAGACTGAATAAAGAAGGGGAACAATAGCACGCTGACACGTAAAAGGATCTACATAGCGAACCGTGCTTCCTCCTCAGCTAAAGAACGCTCACTGTCCGCGGACCCATGATGAGTCACGGGATCAGGGATCCCTTCCATGTCTGACACACATGTCATTAAAATTCACCATTGCACTTTTTTTCCTAGACTTCTCTCAGGTTTCCTTTGGTTTTTATTTAATCATATTATTGGGGGCTCCTACAGCTCTTCTCACAGTCCGTCCGTCCACTTTGTACATATGTTGCCATCATCATTTTCAAAACATTATCTTTCTACTTGAGCCCTTGATATCAGCTCCTCATTTTTCCCTCCCTTCCGCCCTCGTGAACCCCCACTAAATTATAAATTATTATTATTGTCATATCTTACACCGTCCACTGTCTCCCTTCACCCATGTTTCTGTTGTTTGTCACCCTAGGTGAGGTGGGGAGTATTATATGTCGATCATTGCAATCGGTTCCCCCTTTCTCCCCCCTACCAGTTTATAGTTGCTATGGCAACCATGCAGCCCACATTCACAGCTAGCTCCAGCACTGGTGTTGCCCAAGTTATTTCCCTCAGCAAATTAACTCTGAGGTTGGCCTCTTTCTGGACTCCCACGGGATGCATGCAGTTAACATGCCAGTTGCTCCTCTGAGGCAAGGCTGGGCAGTGATCTACTTCGGAAAGGGCACAGCTTGGCAAGCCCTATGAGGCACAGTAGTTCTACTCTGGCGCCTTTGGGGTAGTGAGGGGTCGGATAGATGGCAGCTGGTTCTTGCCCTCTTCCTAAGGATCTCTTATTGACAGGTAGCCGTCAGACATCTCCCAGGCACCATATAGAATGAGGCTCTTTGGGGAGACTGATGTCCTCTCTGTGTCCTGTGGACCTCTTTCTCTCAGAAGCCAGGTGTCCTTAACTTTGTTCTTAAACCTGGGGCCCTTAGGTTACCCTTAGATGTTCATACATATCTACTTCACAAATGGTTTGGGGATCTTTACCTTAGATATGTTAGCTCATAATGATACAGTAATGTCCTCCATTGTGCTTGTCTAATATTATCAGATACCTGCTAACCGGCCTTCTCATGAGAAGCCAGTTTAAATTATTGATAAAGATCATTTGCAACCATCACAAAGGGCCTTCTGGCTGGAGGAAATGATTCTGTGAAATAATGGATGTTTTAAAAGGGAAACATATGCTCACTGAAGCACATTCAATCTCACTGACATATTTAAAGTAACGAGTGAGCCTCCCTCCCACTTTCCAAACCCGTCTGTTCCCACAGCTGACCTTAGCCCTTCATCTCACGTACTTGGGGCACGTTGTCAGGAGAGACCCGTCTCCGGAGAAGGATCCCATGCTTGCTAAAATAGAGGGCCACCGAAAACGAGGAAGACCCTCGATGAGATGGATTGACACCATGGCTCAACAATCGTTCAAACACAGAGATTGTGAGGAAGGTGCAGGGCCAGGCAGTGTTTCGTTCTATTGTACATATGAGTTGGAACCCACTGGATAGTACC